TGAATAACCCTGTTGTTGCACTACATCAGATAATGGGCGTGGCTTTGAATATTGTTGAGATGAATAACCTTGTTGTTGCACTACATCAGATAATGGGCGTTGTACATCACCTTTGTAACTAACTCCTAAGATGAAAAAGAAAGGTTTTTAAATTTATGGACTACATTCCGAAAGCTATTTTGTCAAACTGAAAGACATACCTTGAGATTGATCTGGAAATTGAGTACCAGGTCTTATACAGGTTTGAACGCTACTATCCCAAACTAATTCGCTTGGACAGGATTGAATGTAATACTGAGTACCATCACACATAATAAAACCTTTATCGGTAAAACCAAGAGGATGTGTTCCGTCTTCAGTACATGGATTTGGAAAGGCTATAAGAGACAAAGATAATACATAGTGTTATTTTGTCTTCTTTTGCTGAATAGGAAACGATGTCTTGAAATCGTCTCTCAGAGATATATCGAAATACCGGATCTCTGAATCTCTGACGGATTCACTTCAAAGAATCTTCGTCTGTTCGTTTAGAAATCGTTGGAGCCTTCTTTTTAGCCACCAAGTAAAAAAATAGTGCAGAATTTAATTACTTTGTTGGCAATTTGGTCCATATGAAAATCTTGGACAAATGCATATGTATGGTAATGCAGCACCATATCGAAATCCCTGACATAATCCTTGAGGTCCACATGGTTGCTGATCACAAGCACGACTATCGATTTCACATTGAACACCACTGAATCCTTCAACACAATTACATTTGTATGCAACTGGTCCATCTTCTGAACATTGACCTCCATTGAGACACGGATTTGAGGAACAAGGTGGTTCATTCTGATTGGCTTCTAAATGTCAGGAAAATATATTAGAAGAAATTTTGTGTGTTTTAACATGAATTACTTCTTTCACATCGAGCTGCTATAGTATTGTAGTGTAAACCACTTGGACAATCTTGTTCGACACCTTTGGCTGTATCAACACAAACGATAAATTTTTTTGTTGTTGATGGATGCGTTATGACACTGCCTGGTGCTCGTCCTTGACAAAGTTGATCTAGAAGTCGCACAAAAATTACGTTTACTTCATTTATGAAAGATTTCTCTTAAGTCATACCAGAAAAGCTCAATGGGATTTGTTGATCGAGTGTTGTTTGAACAAAAGTGGGTTGATATGCATTTGAATATGCCACTGTCTGATAATTTTGTGGTATCCATGTTTGTTGTGTTCGAGTTAAAGCCATTGGACTATGCTTGAATGAGGATGATAAATAACTCAATGGGTTGTCAAGCGCCGATTTTGAATACATTAATTGTGATGTTTGATATGGTAGCTGTCGTCTTCGTCTTTTTTTTTTATATGCATTTTGTTGTTGTGGTTGTTGATATTGACTATTCAATAATCCGTTGATGACACGGCGCGGTGAGCCAATATCATTCTGAACATTTCCTGAAAGATCAGATGATCCAGATCCATAATTGACTGGTTGTTGTCGTTGACTGAAGAATGAGCTGGTCTTATCAGCAAACGATGGTTGGTTTGAATTCATACTTCTAAACGTTTGTGTACGTTGATTTGGTGAAATGAAGCTTTGTGAAATATCTCCAAATTGCTTTTGTTGACCATAGGATGACGGTTGAGATGAATACTGATTAAGAGTTAAACTAGTTTGTGGTAAATCATTTGATAATTGTCGTTGTTGATTAGAACCATAGCTATTCATTTGTCGTTGCTAGATGAAGAAAAATACACGCCGATATTGAAACGATTATCTATACTCTTTTGAGCAAGATGAAAAAGTCTCTATCGTTTTCTACTCCAGGGTTCTGCTACAGGAAAAATATAACGTTAGAGAGAAGTTTTTTCAATAGGAAAAAACCTTCCTTAACCACATCTGAAAAAGTTATATGAATTAAAGGGATTGTCGAGGTGTCTTTCTTTCAAACAATATCTTCTTAACTTCATAAGGCTTATTCTTTACCTGCATTGACCTCGAACCTATTTTGCTGGATACATCACCATTGAGTATTTGTCCATACGCATTTAATTGTGGTTGTTCTTGAAGCAAATCATTATTGTCAGCGAATAGTTGTGATTTCGCTTCAAGTGACAATGATTCTGATGAAGGTTGGATAATATCTCGCAAAGAAGTTTGTAAACGTTGTTGATCGTTTTGCATATATCCGCCATAAGAATTTATCGGTTGTTGTTGTCGTTGTGGCAACATTCCAGAATATTGATCTGATTGTTGACGAGTTGAATATGAATTCAACCTAACTGGTTTATTAAATAATTGTTGATCAGATGAATACTGTTGGATCGTTTGTAGTCGTCGATTATTTAATTGTTGCCGAGGTCTAAAAATGATATCCTCATTTGAGGATGATAGTAATTGACGCTGAGTCGATGGTTTTTGTATGTAATTGACTACAGATATTGAGTCACTCGAGATATAAGTTGGTTGGTCGCTAGCTGGTTTGGCTGGACTTGTTTCAGCATGGTCACATGTTTTCTTTTCTTGATTCCAATATAGACCAGATGGACATGGTAGTAAATTAATTTTTTCACCATTACATTGAACATAGGCTCTTGAACTAAATGCAAACGGGTAATATTGCTGATTACCGTCAACTGTCATACATGGATTTGGAACTGTGTCTAGAATACGAGAACATATTATTTCAACTTTAAAGAAAAGTCCAAAAACTTTCGCTAAAAGCTTACTTTTATCACACGTCAATCCGTATGATTTTCGTTCGTCACAAACACATGCATAATCTTGCGGATAATCGTCCGCTTTCAGTGTAACACATTCAACACCTTTTCCACATGGTTCATTGACACAACTGCTCAGGGGTGTTTCACATCTATCACCAGTGAACATTTCACGACATGTACATTTGTATTCTGTTGTTGATGTTGCATAGCATTGTCCATCATTCATACACGGTTTTGATTCACACAATGCCTCTCCGTTCATTTTCTCACATTGATCACTGACACGATTGTATATTAAACCTTTTGGACATTCCATAATTTCATATTTTACATCAGTTAAGCACGATATATATTTTGTTCTATCCGTAGGATGGGCTACATTGCCTTTATTTCCTTTTCCTATACATGGTGATCCTAAAAAAGGTAAAGAATATTAATTATATTTCGTTGAACTTCTCAGAGATCGTTTACCATCTATTGGAATTGTAATTTCAATCTTTTCTTCTTTTGTAGCATACGCTGGTAAACGTCCCTCAAGATTATTATCTTTTATTAATGGTGTTGTACTGTATTGTCGTTTACGCCTGTGATAGTCATTGTAGCTCGAGTCATCGTTATCAGAATACGACTTTTTGTAGTTTTTACTACGATCATAATCTTTGTCGTGCCTAGAATAAAAAGAATAGTTTCCAGACTTCCAAAATAAACTAAAAATATATTTTTGTCTTACCCATCTTTATAACCCTTATTATACCCGCGATCATAATCTTTTCCATAGCCTAAAGTATTTGAAACTTATTAATAGAACTAGTGTAAGTGTAGTTTAAGTTAACTTACCGCGATCGTAATCCTTTTTATAACCTTTGTCGTAATCTCCGTCATAATCAGAATGTTTGTGATGTTTTCGATGATGCATACCATACGGCCCACTCGGTTCTATTGATGGAAAACTTGTTGGATATGGATACGGTTCTATAAATGGCCCTGGATAGCCACCACCAAAACCGCCAGGAAACGGATAGCTCCCAGGAAAAGTTTCAAAGCCACCAGGAAACCCACCAGGAAATGATCCACCATACGGTCCACCATAACCGCCAGGAAATCCAGCAAACGGACTAGCAACGCCGCCTGGAAACGGACCACCGAGACCAGCTAAAACAAGAACAACTATCAGATCGTTTAGAGACGCCCAAGTAAATTACACAAAATGCAGTGGTCAATGGAAAATTTTTAACAGAATAAGAAGTTCAAGTGCAAAACGCAGTTACAGCAAAATCAACAACGTTAGTGTCTCTCTCTTCCCAGTTTTATCATATTTTTGACACATTAGGAACATTTAGTTATGTATTCTATTTCCTGCGAAGTTTCTACAGTGCCGTGACCAGAGAAACAACAGAAGGACGGTAAATTTTTGGGAGAAAGCTAACAGGTTTTGAGAGAAAGATAAAATGTGTTTTGAGTCCCCAACAAATTGTTTGTAGAAAGGTTATTAGCAACAGAAACTAAAAAATCCAAAAAGCAGAGTGTGTGTGCATTCCACTACACTCTCTCTATCATCACGACCCTGAGTTTCTATACTTTATGTGGTATTATTATTCACGAAAAAACATACCGAATGGAAATAATGGACCTGGTACAAGTGTTGCTGGAATATTAACTGGTAATGGAGGTAATAGCGGAGAAATTGGACCAATTGGAGGCGGTATCGGAATTGGTGCCCTGAAAAATAGAACATTATCGAAATTAGTACGATAAAAACGCAGGTTAGTAAATGAATACTTACGGAATAGGTACCGGAATAGGTGGAGGTGGTAGTGGAATCGGAGCTGGAATTGGTACTGGAACCGGAAACGGAAAGGGACCAGGTGGAGGTATTGGAAATGGCCCTGGTATACCTGAAAAGCACGTATAGAATAATGGAATAAGTTTATTACTAAAATCATAACAAGAATATGTCGTCTTCTTTAGAACCAATCCGGACAATTAAACAAAGTTTACTGTTCAACCGACAAAAAATTAATAAACATACTCGGTATAACATCTAACATTACAAAATGCTCGATGGTAGAACATAAACGAATTCTGCAAATGCTATTCTATTAAATACAGGAAATTGCTCCAACCCATAACGATCACGCTTCATTTGGACTTACCACCAAAACCGGGTCCACCAAAACCGGGTCCACCAAAACCATTTAGAACACCTGGAAAGCCGATTGGACCTGGGAATGCTATTGGAGCTACCGGCAGACCGATCGGAACTTCAAAGCCAACCGGCAAAGGTGGAAACGGAAAAGGACCACCTCCATATGGACCAACAAATTGTCTCTTTTTACGATTTAATAATTGTCGTTTCTTTCGACGCCATGGACCAACAGCATTAGTCGGCAATGACGATTGAACAAATTGTGCGTTTCGTTGGTTACCTATATTATTTAACATTGACTTTAGTCCATAATCACCTGAATTCAGGCAAAATTAGTCTTATGCAACAAAATATTTTGTTTCAATTTTATTAAAATAGAAGCTTTTGCTAATCAGTTGTAATCAAAATATTCTATTTTAAGTAAAATTAAAATAAAATAATTATTGTGTGATTATGACTAATTCTGTTTTTATTCACCTGAATTAACTGGGCCTGTGGCATAAGATGAAGAATATGATGTAGATGGTTGATTATAACCACTATTTTGTTGACTTGTTGGGACAACTCCTGTTGACTGACTTGTATAACTATTTGTTGCACCGTCATATCCATTGTTGTTATATTCTTCTTTACTTGTTGTATATCGGAAATCTGGCCAGTCACATACGTCAAGAATGGTATTCCATACAAGATTAGCTGGGCAATTCTTGATGATCATAATATCGAAAGCACACTGAATATAACATGATGGTGCACCTGGTAATGGATAATATTGTTTTCCATCAGGAGTACACGGATTTGAAGCACCTAAAAAACGAAATCTAAACTTAAATCTTTGAAAACATACGAGCTTTGAGTTTTAAATAAAATATTCCTCACAACCTTCTACTTATAACAGCTTTTATCACTACTGTTATATCAAATAACTCCCAACTTCTTACTCAAGAGCCTTTCTATCCAAAAAATAAGCTTAACTTCCCTTTCACATTTCCTACAAAACAACCAAAATTAATATTCTAAATCATCAATAAACAGACAAACTTACTTTGCGGGCAATTATTTGGATAAAGTGAGCCATCTCCAATTGAATCAGACAATACTTGTTCTCCATAACTATTTGAGTTAGAATACGAGGGCACATTTTGAGCAGGCGCTGAATAACTACCATATGATCCTAAATTTAATAAAACTATAAATCAGAGCTACTATCTCCAAAACTAAGCATGTATGTCATCCTATCAAAAGACAAGAACCAAAAAGACACATACCATCTGGATTAACAGATGGTGATCCGTACGACGAACCAGCATTGTATGATGATGATTGCTGTCCACTGTTATCAGAGTTTGCAAATGCGGGCACATTTTGAACAGGCGCTGAAAAGCTACCATATGATCCTAAATTTGAGACAAGTATAAGTCAGAGCTACTATGTCCAAAACTAAGCATGTATGTCATCCTATCAAAAGACAAGAACCAAAAAGACACATACCACTTGGATTAATAGATGGTGATCCGTACGACGAACCACCAGCATTGTATGATGATGATTGCTGTCCACTGTTATCAGAGTTTGTAAATGAGGGTACATTTTGAGCCGGCGCTGAATAGCTACCATATGATCCTAAATTTGATACAAGTATAAGTCAGAGCTACTATGTCCAAAACTAAGCATGTATGTCATCCTATCAAAAGACAAAAACCAAAAAGACACATACCACTTGGATTAACAGATGGTGATCCGTACGACGAACCACCAGCATTGTATGATGATGATTGCTGTCCACTGTTATCAGAGTTTGTAAATGAGGGTACATTTTGAGCCGGCGCTGAATAGCTACCATATGATTGTGGTCCATTGTTATTAGAATTTGCAAATGAGGGCACATTTTGAGCAGCTACAGCTGAAAAGCCAAGATCACTTCCATAATCGTTTGTTTTAGCAACAGTTAACGATACTGATGGAGCAGCATAGTCATTGGAACCGGAATAGGATGGGACAAATTGCGCCGATGATCTTGAAAGACCAGAACGACTGTTTGAGTCATAAGAAGATGGGGCGACATAGTTATTCGCTAAAATACACAAAAAATTAGATATTTGTGCTGGACTGATTGTAAAGCTAGTTTTTCGCAGAACGCTTATAACTATTCTAAAGATCGGACTTTTTTGTGAAATAATGGAATCAGGTCTGCTAAAGTGCTTTTTCCTGTATGATGCTGATCATAATGATTGCTCTCCATTGCTATTAGAATTTGCAAATGCGGGCACGTTTTCAGCAAACGCTGAATAACTACCATATGATCCTAAATTTGATACAAGTATAAGTCAGAGCTACTATGTCCAAAACTAAGCATGTATGTCATCCTAGCAAAAGACAAAAACCAAAAAGACACATACCACTTGGATTAACAGATGGTGATCCGTACGACGAACCAGCATTGTATGATGATGATTGCTGTGCGTTATTCTTAGTATTTGCAAATGAGGGCATATTTTGAGCAGACGCTGAAAAGCTAAGATCACTTCCGTAATCGTTTGCTTTAGCAACAGTTAACGATACTGATGGAGCAGCATAGTCATTGGAACTGGAATAGGATGGGACAAATTGCGCCGATGATGTTGAAAGACCGGAACGACTGTTTGAGCCATAAGAAGATGGGGCGACATAGTTATTCACGTATGGTGGTGATGATTGCTGTCCACTGTTATCAGAGTTTGCAAATGAGGGCATATTTTGGGCTGGCGCCGAATAACTACCATATGATCCTAAGTTTGATACAAGTATAAGTCAGAGCTACGATCTTGAAAACTACTCATGGATTTTCATCCTATCAAAACGCGAAAAAGAAAAAGACACTTACCACTTGGATTAACAGATGGTGATCCGTACGACGAACCACCAGCATTGTATGATGATGATTGCTGTCCACTGTTATCAGAGTTTGCAAATGAGGGCATATTTTGAGCAGGCGCTGAATAACTACCATATGATCCTAAATTTGAGACAAGTATAAGTCAGAGCTACGATCTTGAAAACTACTCATGTGTTTTCATCCTATCAAAAGGCGAAAAAGAAAAAGAAAAAGACACTTACCACTTGGATTAACAGATGGTGATCCGTACGACGAACCAGCATTGTATGATGATGATTGCTGTCCACTGTTATCAGAGTTTGCAAATGAGGGTACATTTTGAGCAGGCGCTGAATAACTACCATATGATCCTAAATTTGATACAAGTATAAGTCAGAGCTACTATGTCCAAAACTAAGCATGTATGTCATCCTATCAAAAGACAAAAACCAAAAAGACACATACTACTTGGATTAACAGATGGTGATCCGTACGACGAACCACCTGCATTGTATGATGATGATTGCTGTGCGTTATTCTTAGTATTTGCAAATGAGGGCATATTTTGAGCAGACGCTGAAAAGCTAAGATCACTTCCATAATCGTTTGTTTTAGTAACAGTTAACGATACTGATGGAGCAGCATAGTCATTGGAACCGGAATAGGATGGGACAAATTGCGCCGATGATCTTGAAAGACCAGAACGACTGTTTGAGTCATAAGAAGATGGGGCGACATAGTTATTCGCTAAAATACACAAAAAATTAGATATTTGTGCTGGACTGATTGTAAAGCTAGTTTTTCGCAGAACGCTTATAACTATTCTAAAGATCGGACTTTTTTGTGAAATAATGGAATCAAGTCTGTTAAATTGCTTTTTGCTGTTTAGAATAGCTGAGCTATATTTTCGGAATGCTGCACATAATAGGAAAGAAAGAGTTGAAAGTAACTAGAGTCATCGCCATAACTGTTTGATCCATGATGAAATCCAAAGGGTGTACCGATATTTCTTGTGAGCGCTGATTGCATTCCGTTTATGTTGGGAGCATTTCGGGCATTTGAGTCGTCACTTGAGCTATACGATGACTGAGTTCCTAAAAGAAAACACAGTAGCTTATCGCGTCGCTGGGAGAATAGAGTTTGGTAGCATTATAAGTGCCTCACTAAAACTCGTGTTGAAACACTCAAATACTCACCAGCTGGATAATTAGTTGCGGAAGTTGATCCATATGATGAGCCACCAGAATTGTAAGATGATTGGGCTCCATTATTGCTTGAACTTGAAAATGATGGAAGAACATTTTGTGATAGAGATGAATAACTAGAATCACCACCGCCACCACTATAACTATTCACTAATGGTGGGCTAACAAGATTCGTAAATGTTGATTGTGATCTGTAGTTGTATGATGGAATATTCTGGGATGGCGCTACATAGTTGGAAGCACTGTTTGAGCCATACGACGATTGTTCGCCATAATTATTGCCTGAAATAAAATAAAAAACTTGCTACATTGCATAGAAAGAAATTGTTTTGTTATTTGTAAATTCCCCATGCATACAAAGTCTCAAATAGATCAATTATGAAACTCCACGTGCCCTATATTTCGTTTTTCATACTCACCAGTTGCGAAATTATTGACAGGTGTTGCTCCATATGACGAACCCCCCGAATTGTATGTTGATTGAGGTTCATAACTTCTTTGACTCGAATAAAGTGGACTTTGCTGAACTGATGCTGTATAATCGTAAGCTTCTGAAGTAGGTGGGAAGGATCTACCAGTATTAGCAAGTGCTGAAAAAGATAGCAAAATCTTAGTCTAATATACTCAGTAGATTTATGCCACCAAACACTTACTTGGACAAAATTCAGATTTTGATGGTAAAGAGTCACAGTTGATTGATGCAAGATCATATCCAGAACATCGACTTTGAATAGCTAAACAAGCCGTCAATAAAGTTGCCTGAGTGCCAAGAAAAAGCTTAAAAAATCTTACCTCTGCAGAAACTTGCACATGGTAATATTGCTTGGTCTTTACATGGCGGAAACAATAGTGGACAGATAAACATACGAAGATGTTTGAAACATGGTGCATCGAGCGCCGGCTGAAATAGAGCCAATTGTTGATTAACTTCATATTTTTCTTGGTGATTGAACCAATTTGGTAGTGCGTAAGTTGTTTGAGGTAACACGGAACAATATGTTGAAAATGACGGATAAGTGGTGTCAATTATGTTGTAACATACACTGTCTTTAGCAACAGTTTGAGCTTGTGTACTTCCAGCTACTACGCCACCAGTTGATCCTGCAATTGCAGGAGTTGCTACCGGTCCAACAGAAGCAGCAACTGCAGGAGTTGCTGCTGCAATGGGAGCACCAACGGCTCCTCCGACAGGTGCTGAAAATAAAATGAAGTGACGAAAAGTGCATGCAAAATGAGGACATTAACATAGTGGCGGACTCAGGATTTTTCTTAAGCACACCCAGTACGTAAGAGAAGTATGATGTACGCGCGGTCGCCATGGAAACGCAATTTTTTGAGCCAGTTTTGCGGAGCAAAAATTATTCTTTTTTTATAGAGGTACGATCGTCCGCTGGCTGAATCCGCCAGTGCATTAATAGGGGAAAGCAAAAATAACCCTGTCAACTGTCTCTTTTGTCACAATATCAAAAACTGTTTTGTTACTTAAATTTTTCTCATTTTATTGGAAAATAGATCTTGCTCATTTCGTTGCTATGTTCTCTTTCTACTGATGATACCTCTAATTGGTTCTGTCAGCTCAATTTTCAAAACTGAGTATAGTGAAAAAACTGCATGCTTATTAAAAGGTGAATAAATCCGCAAAGAGAGATGTTAATACCTGCAACCGCAGGCACTCCACCACCCAATGGAGCCCCTACACCACCCAATGGAGCCCCTGCAAGCGCTGGACCACCAAATGGCACTCCGATGCCCGGAGCAAAAGGTGCGCCAAATATCAAGGGAACGGGTATTGGAACCGGAAACGGTGGTCTAAAAATTGAAAGAGAACCATTTCAAGCTTTGAGAATTGTACACAGTCAGCGCACAAACCTGAATCCGTATCCGCCTCCCATCGAACGATGTTGGCCATATTTTGCATCGGAACTGTAATCATCTTCGATATAATCTCTATCTCGGTAAGAGTCTCCTCCATAAGATGAACGACCTTTTGAATAACCGTAGTCTTGCTTTTTATACGAATCATCATACAAACGACTTCCTGAGTCGTGATTATCCTTACCTCCATACAAATCGCTATATGATTTTCTTCCTGGTCTGGACCTTTCTACATAACCATCTATAAAATGACTAAAACTCTTTAAATTTCTGAAATCCTCACTCTCACAGATGATTACATACCAACATAAGAATAAGTGGACACCAAGGTGACCAGTACAGCACATTGTAACAATAACTAAAGTTCAGATTGAACATTGTTTACATTTATTTTACATTTATCTTCGCTGGTATACTGTGTATACATTTCTTGGAAGGCAAAACTCACCCAAGTCATTGTACGTAAGTGGCGTCAAAACGATAAAAATCCTCGTACAACTTCTGCAAACAGAAACTGACCATGAAAGTGTAGCTAGCAACTCTTTTATAGTCGACGTATATTTTATTTTATTTTTCCAGTCGAAATAAACAAAGACTTATTTGTTTTCACAGTAGAGAGTGATGAAATTCTAGGTAATAAGTATTCTAGATTTCTACGAAAAAGTTTCGTCAATTTATGACACATTGTATTCAATTTTTTTGTTTCTCTTTTCTATCTCTAGAACGATCTTTATGTGCGATGATCACGTGTATGTCACCTCTTGTCCATATGTAATAGTATTGCGCAACTTAATATGTACAGGAATATATTTTTCAACGGAAGAAAGATTTTAACCTTTGCGGTAGATCATCTAGTAAATGTTTAAAAAAAGTAGAACGATAGGAGAAACGAGCTCCAACCACAAGTCATTGAACGATGCTTCTTTGATAATATTTTCTTCGTTTAGTCCATAACTAGCGATAGAAACATTTTTGAGAACCAGGATGACTCCCACTATTGCGAAGATAGTTGATTCTAAAGTGAAATATGTCAAACTCAGTTTTGAAAATTTTTTGTTTAAAAAAGGAAGAAGGAAGATCCCTTTAACCAGTTTTCAAATAGGTATTAAGGATCTTTTATTTTACTTCTTTCGATCAGAATGTATAACTACAAATTGCAATCAACTTGTTGTCTCGAAAAGTTACAATAATCAACATAGAAATGTAATAGAGAAGAAGTGAAAAAAATAGAAAGACAAATGGTTGCTTGGCGAAATATTACTATTACTCAGAGCAAAATCTTTGAGCGAATAAGACTGCTAGAAACCAATTTGCACTAATTGCTGTCATATGTTTTCTTCAATTGAACAAGAGAAATTTCACTTACTTGAACTTTGAGAACATTTGTACAGCTTTTTTGGAAGTCTCAAGATCGTAGAGAAACACAATTATCGAAAACAAATCTGCAAGGAGTCTTTTTTTTCAGCTGCCACGATATTTTAAGTATACATTTAGAATGCTTTTATTGCGGAAGAGTTTCAAACAAATAGACTGGTTAATCGCAGTTTGAAGAAACAAACGAAATAGCTTGAAAAAACTACGCAGTGAAAAAGTTGTTTGGAAGAAAGTTCAAAATATTGACACAGCTAGTATTGATCCTGGTATTTACTGAAATCTACTCTAATATTTTGTTTGAACTGTCGGCATTAAGAGAAAAAAAGATGCAGAGTTTTAGATCACCTTTCTCGATACCTAGAATTTCTTGTTTTGACGAAGTGATAGAGAGGATGAGAGAATAGTTGAAATAGTTTTTGTTTAAAAAATTTTATTTTCCATTGTTTATAATGAGGCCGACTAGCTGATCTCCATCTGCGATAACAAAAAGATTGAGATAAAGATAAAGGATAAAGAGAATTTAGAAATACCGCATGTGAAACATAAGACTAAGCATTTTCTATTTTGACCTTGTTTAACAGAATATGTGTGACCTAGAGTAATGTAAGAAAACAAAAGAAGATTCTTTTTTTATTGACCTAGAGGAGAAAAAGAAAGGCACTATCGGGTATAAAAGAGGCGTGTTCACAGTGCTTCTTCAGTCAGTTTGCTTAGTGTTCTGTCTGCAAAACTTGTACCGATATTTTTACTTTCGAGTTTAAGTGTATACAATGACTTCGGTAAGTAATTTATCTATTCAAGAAAACAAATTCGCAGGGTTCGCAACTGATTTATGTATTTTTTAGTTATTGTTACAATGTGCGTTGTTGGTCACGCTAGTGTCCACATTTTATAGTGCTCGGTAAGTGAAGGAAAAAATTTAAAACTCATATACAGATGAACTATATTTTAAATATTTTTGACTTAGTGCGTACGATGTTGTACCCAAAATCAGAAGTGCAATGGCACCACAATATGGTGCACTCAATGATGAAATCCAACAGAACTCTGGTATGATCAGTTCAGTCGGTTTAAATCAAAGACCATTTCCGTCTCGTCCAATAAATTCTTATGGAGCAAGTACTGGAGCGATCTTTGATCAAAAACGACTAGTTCAAACGAGTCCTACAATTGGTTATGGTATGAGCAGTGGATTAAGCAGAGATCTACCATCATATACACAATCTCGTCCAAGTTTCAATTATGGTATGAGCAGTTCAGTCATCTTTGATCAAAAGCCAGCAATTCAACAAGGTATATTTTACTTCTCAGTTCATGCTCCATTGTTTTGAGCGATATTAATTGTTTATTTTTTTCTAGGCCCATCCCCATGTTCACCTGCAACAGTTGGTCACCTTATACCAAATCCAGCCGATAGAAGCAGCTACATTGCTTGTCTTGATGAAACACGTTATGAAATCATGGCATGCCCAGATCAATTGGTATTTAATGATGCACTTGATCGATGTGAAAGAATTTCGGATGATGAAGCTGTGTGTCAACAAAATCCTTGCATGAATGGTGGACAATGTTACGCAACATCTCCTCAAACATTTAAATGTACGTGTTTGGAATCGTTCACTGGTGAAAGATGCGAAGTGCCAATTGGTAGCTGTGCAAGACGACCATGTGGACCGGATGCTGAATGCTGGTCATTTAGAGCCGAAGATTATCCACAAGATTATGTATGCGTTTGCAACGACAGACAGTCGTATGGTTTAAGTTGTAGTCAGAGTAAGTGCTCTGAGCAGGTAAAGTCGAACGATTCACTTATTGATTATTGTTGTTTTTCTAGCTGTTCCAAATCCATGTGTACAAGAAAGTAATGAATTGACACAATATTATCCATTTGGCTTTAGTAAACAAGCCTATGTTCAATGCAATGGTGAAATCAGTTATTTCAGACCATGTCCATCAGGTTTATTGTGGAGTCAAGAGGAAAGAGTTTGTAAATCACCATTTGTCCAAGTACAACAAGATTTTATTGCTCAACCACGAGTAAATATGTACCAACAACAACCACGACCACAATATGATAGTATAGTTCCACAAAACTCATATGGATCACAAATATCAGACATGGGTGGCAATCGAGTCCTCGATATCGGACAACAATCTTTTGATCAACAACGTAAAACACACAGACATCATAAACTACAACATTTTCAAAAACCAAGAGTATTCAATGATGTTAAGATCTGGTCAGCTGGTACGTAAAAGCAGATTTTCATTTCTATCATATATAGAAGTTTGAATCATCCGCCAAGCAGTGCTTATGTGTAAGCTAGCAAAATAGAAATGAAGACGAGTAATTTTCCTTATGCCAGCCAGCAGAACAATAGCAGCACGTGTAGAAGAGATGACCGTATATCCGGAACAGAAAAACAAAGTATAATTAGAGCGTAGGAAATTAAAAAAACAGAAATGAAGATAGCAAACAATGACATGTACATAGTTGGTAGAAAGATGTTAGAGTAGCAAACCGCATGAACACCTTTTTTTCTGGCAACTCTTGCAATTTGTCCACCTAATGCGGAGCTCTAGGTAAGAGCTAAGTATTCAAAAGCAAACGCATTTATTTTTGGATTAAACTGTTTAAAAGTATAGTATAATGCTGATGGTGTAACGGAGGGAAGGGGATTATATACAGTTTAATATCTGAATAAAATAGCTTAAACCAATAATATTTTCTCTTTCAGATAATCAACGACAAGACGGTTACTCGCAAAGACAACAACCACAACCAGTTTTATCGTCAGTAATTAATAGAAATTCATACCAGAGTCCACCATCATCTTCAGGTTATACATCCAGCCTAGTAGGACAAAACGATATTGTAGGTCGTCGTGTAAATTCTGTATTATTCAATAATCAAGTTCAACAACCACAGGTCCAAGCATCTTACAGACGAAAACGGCAATATAGTCAAAGATCATTAGCGCAAAAGTTACCAGTAATGGATGTAACATCTCAAAAATATGGCAGTCAACAATCCTATGGTAATCAGTATCAACAACCACAAATCCAATCATTAGCCGATATATCCATTCAACAACAACCCGTCAGTTCTGGATATGGTTCATCCAGTCCACAGTTACAATTATCATCATTCAAAACAAATTTTCAAAGTGATCGTCCGAGTGTAAACATGCTTTCATATGAACAACTTCCTTCAGCTCAAATTCAAGTAACGTTTGCTGGTAAGTGTTGATGAAAAAACGATTCGTTGTAAATGACTTTTAGTTTTTTTCAAGATCAACAATGCCAAGGACAACAACCTGAGACCGTTCTCCCACATCCAGCTACAACAAGAAAATTTATCATTTGTCTTGATATGGCTAAAGGTGTCGAACAAGATTGTCCAAGTGGTTTGCATTACAGTACTACATCAGGTCGATGTGAAAGAAGTAAGTATAATTTGTCATGCTTTTCGTTACGAAATTCATTTGAAAATAGGGTGTTTTAGTTAAGAAGCGAAACGTTGGCGCAAAGGAAAGATGAGACATGTCGTTTTATACTCGAAGTTTGCATGTTATGAATACATGTATTTCCTTTTTAGGAGCTGGTCAACTCGAAGCTCCATGTGCACTAAATCCATGTCTCAATGGCGGTCAATGTACCGAAGACGGCTCGACATATAAATGTGATTGCCCACAAGGACTCGGTGGCAAACAATGTGAATTAGACGTACGTACTTGTCTTCAAAGTCCATGTGGTCAAGGAAGATGTCAAAGTTTCCGAGTTGGTGCTGCTCTAACACACGTCTGTATTTGCGAAGGTGATACATACGGTCCAACTTGTTCGCAAAGTAAGTAAAAACTTTAGAGTTTACTTACTTACAAATAATTAATTCGTGGATTTTCCCTTTTTCTAGCATTACCAAATCCATGTCGTCAAGATGATTCACTTCCATTAGGTTATACTGATAAAGGTTTTATTATGTGTGATGGCAATCGATTCCTTGTCGAAGGATGCCCAGGTGGTTTAGTTTGGGACGTTAATGAAAAAGCATGCTTCTGGCCTGAGACTCAACTTCAAGGTATGTCTTTCAGTTTGATAAACTAGTTTTCGAACTGTAGTCCATAAATTTAAAAACCTTTCTTTTTTATCTCAGGAGTTAGTTACAAAGGTGATGTACAACGCCCATTATCTGATGTAGTGCAACAACAAGGTTATTCATCTCAACAATATTCAAAGCCACGCCCATTATCTGATGTAGTGCAACAACAGGGTTATTCA